TGCAGCTGGCGTCTGAGATGGTAGGGAATGTCCCTGCTGTTCTGGAAGCTAATTTAGAAGTGCCGCTGTTGGTGATGAGTGCGTGATTAGCGCAAGGGCAACGGCAAGCAACAGACACGTGGTAAAGCTGGAGTCTGGGAAGAGTCATTAGCCTTGCTCCTCGGAAGTCTTGACCCGGATGAGCCGAACGAGAAATATATCGCCGGATCCAATCGTCAGACTCGTTTTGCGGAGAAGCGTCAGGTCCGACGCGCGCCCGAAGAGATACCAGAGTAAGCATAAGAGCGCCGCATCTTGGTAGTCGCTGGCGCAAGTTGCAGTTGAATACAAGTATTCGGTCATCTGCTAAAGAGCTTTCTTCATGCATGCTGGGGGCTTGTAAAAACCGTTCCTGTCTCGCGTTTCATGCAGTAGCGCTCCAGCACTTGGCCTTTCTTGAGCAAATTCTTTTCTACTGCGACGCGATGCTTGGGAAACTGGTCCAGCAACCAGTTCTTTACCTGTCGGTAGTACTGCATCACCGAGTGTCGAGCTAGTAGCTGTCCCTTGCGGCCTTCCTTAAAGGCGAGATACTTGCCAAATTTGTCCACCACATCTTCTAGAACCAGCGCGACCGTATCGCGGCTCATAGACGCTTTCAAGTATTCCCACGTCACATCTTCGTATTTTAGAAACGCTAGAAACGAGCGTGCTGCGCTTTCCCGGGCGCGCTTCGTGTTGGCGGGCGCAAGATCGTTGAGACTCATACTGAGTCGGAGATGTCGGAGGTTTCACGTTATTCGATAAATATGTGAATGATTTACAGTCTGTAAAATGATGCTAATAACTGGACGCTCCCTCCGACCCGAAATGTCGGAGCCAACTCCAACGAATCCCAACCTAACCCTTTCCATTTGGATTGGCCAAATCATTTTGTCAAGACCGTACGATTGGTTGTCCAATAAATAAAAAGGGATGATTGGTGATTAATTCTAATACTAAAGTTAAGTAGGGTCGGAGAATTGATGACATTCATCCATACCGGAAGTGAAAATAAAAGAAAGTGGCTTGAGTCTGCAAATTAAAGGCGCAATAATTTCATGTTACGCGAGCTAAACGACCAGCATCAACCGGGCGATCTTTTTTCTCTTCAAATTCACAATTAATACCCGTCACGATATGTTTCCGTCATATCAATCACCGGTGACGGCCTGGGTACCGCCCCCGGCGACTGCCTGGGTACCGTCATCGGCGACTGCCTTGTTACCTTTTCAATTCATGTTATGCGAGCTAAGCGTCCAGCGTCAACTAGGAGCTAACGATCTGACAGTTCAAATACACAGGTCTTAGCGTGCAGCTTGCAAGCCGAATTCTACCCCCCCCATAAAGGTTACGTGAGCTACGCATCCGGCTTCTTGTCCAACCCCCGAGATCGCTTACCAACGATTGTACTGATTTAGCGAAAATATTTTCCCCGCACATGTTGTATTACTCTACCGAATTGAATATTTACGCAACCGGCCCAATCCTCTAGTAGTTCTAATTCTGAGAATGTGTAGGTACAAGTATCTGGTAGCACTTAACAATTCTATTTACTGCTAGTTTAAGCTCATACTAGTATATATGACTTCTCCGGTCCTTCAAGAAATTAACAGAGTGCTTATTTTAAAAAAGCCTCGTGTGTTTGATTGTTCCATGTACAGTTTCTTACGTATCTGATTGGATAAAAATGCATCACTAGCAGATTTGTATGCCAAGCTGATTGGCTGTTTTCGAAACGATTACGAATCAGGTTGCTTTTCGACCTCCTCGTCAGGATATCTAAAGTTTGTTTTTGATTATATTTGACGATGCTACGAAGAAAAACTTCAGCCTCTACAAAGTGATCATTTGAATGTTCGAGATTGACGCTGCCAAAAATTTTGGGAGTAGTGCGAATAAAGAGCTTTACCATGAAACTCACTCTGTCTACATTTATTCGACAGACTTAAAGTTATCGCAAGATAAATGAACGGGTCATTCTTTAGCGGACCGGTAAAGTAGGATGTTTTCACACAAAAAAATCCAGAGCTTCCCCGTGTGTAACACGGCATTGTGAAATTTCGGTGACTCAGTCGGATAAGAACGACATTCAAGCAACCTAATATGTAGCCAAAACACTCACGGTAGAGCTGTTCGACTCTTTGTTTTCGAAGCAATGTAAGCTGCCATCAACGACTGGCTTGTGCTTTCAGAGGACGTTTAATGAGTGAGTCTTGGAGTTAGAGAAACTCACACTTTAAATCAGTTGTTTGACAAAGCTGTTGATGGAAGTACTTCGCTCGCGTTACGTTAGCGTCCACTGAAGAAGGTAAATTACTAAACAAACAAGCGCCTCGCTATTATAGTGCGATTTTCTTCGCTTTGTGGAAAAACTGTCGCTACTTATACCAGCTAAGAAGAAAACGCTTTTACAGTGAGGAAACGACAACATCCTGAGCTTCACGAGCAACGCACGGCATTACCTAGTGAGCGTGTTTTTCAAGTTGGTGTGTGCGTGCTGATGAAAGCGAAGGTTAAGCTCGAGATCTCCTCAAAAAGCGTGTGATTGCGGGCAAAGCTTACCAGAAGCTGATTCTTCATTTTTGAGCAACTGGTAATCAGGATTACTAGCATGGGCCTGGTCATCGATCCCAATTGAATCGGCCTCACACAGGGGGGAGGTCCTAATTGTAGAAGCCTCACATTGAACTCGAACAAGTAGTACAATGCAGCTTTGTGAGCACCGCGTGCGAAAACCATTTGGTTTGTGTCGTGTTAACAGTAAAACATATGATGCGTCGATATTCAGTGCGAGTACTATAATTGATTCATCTATTAAATTGCACTCTCATTAAATATAAATTTTATAATAGTAGGTTCGATGGCAACCTGCATGCAAGAGTAAGCAAAAGGAATTGGCTAGCGAAGACCATACCGTAAACCTTGACATGCATTTCCACTGTCTAAAAGACATCAGAGCTGATGGCCGTGTGTATTCTCTCTTTTTTCTCTCTCGTGGCAGATGCAAAGTGCATTCTGTGTATTTACGCCACCGATAAGACCGATTGTGAGCAGCATATGCGCGTTTATGTACAGTGTACGAACAGTGTACTACAGTGTACATGCAGCACTCTACCAGAGCATGCATCCTTCACAGATAAGTCACTCGACCATTCCTCAATTTCGCTCGTTCTACTCAACTCGCAAGTATCAAGAACAAGTCTGCAACAACAATGAAGCTTGCTTGGACCTGCACCGTCATCGTTGGTTCTCTCCTTCTCTCCAGTTCAGCCAACGTTGTCCAAGCCCAGTGCTCCGACGTGCATGTTGTCTTCGCTCGTGGAAGTGGCGAGATGCCAGGACTTGGTATCTGCGGCGAGACGTTGGTCAGTGGGATCACCGAGAACCTCGGCGGTATGAGCGTTTCCTCATATGCGGTCAGCTACCTCGCTTCCATGGATCAAACTAGCGCTGGGCCTGGCGCCACCGACATGACCAACCACGTCGTGTCTATCGCGCAAGAGTGCCCGAACACGGTATTCGTGCTTGGAGGGTACTCACAAGGCGCTAGTGTCACCGACATCTCGCTTGGCATCAAGACCATGCTTGGCACAGGTGAATCCATCCCAGAAACCTTGGCACCGCGCATCAAAGCTGTGGTAACGTTCGGCAATCCGCTTAAGCTCATGGGCCAGACCATTGAAAGCTCCAGCTCGACTTACGGTTCTAAGGCCATTGAGTTCTGCAACATGGGAGACCCGGTTTGCGGCAATGGTTTTAACACGATGGCCCACATGACCTATCCGATGGACAGCGTTCCCGGCGCGGCCGAGAAGGCTGCTGCCTTAGTGAAGGGCAGCGCGAGAATGCTGCGCGCGTAACTTTGAGGATGGTCAATCGTCGTGTCTGAAAGCCAACACCCTCGTTCTGCTACGTTTCTTTGTCGTACCCAGTGTAGTTTACGCCCAAATACAGTACATGTTCACTCTTCTCTGAAATGCTTAAGATTGTCCTTGAGAAACAAGATCATCTCAAGCGTCACAGGCGAGCATAATAAATCATGCTACTCGCTACTAGCGAGTAAGCGAAATCAGCACCATTTCGGTAATATTCGTTGCAAAAAGCGAATGTGGATCTCCAATCAGTCTACAACGGCCAATGCAATGTTTCTACAAGGAAGGCGAGTCTGTGGAGCTGCTGTGATATCAACTGACCGTTGTATTTGTGCTGGTAATGCAGATAGGACCAAACCTAGCTTTTTAATTCTGACAGGCCAGGAGTTAGTCATTACAATAAGAATTTCGAATGTACTTTTTGAATGATTGTTTTTTGGGATCCCTGCTCACCAGTCCAGGACTTCTCGCTCTAATTTGATCTACCTACAAGCAGAATGTTCGCTGTTTGACTTGAGTTTCATAAGTAAAAAAATAGAAGTGAATTTATAATGAAGGGCTGAATGCTAGACGACGGCCTAAAGAGTCACTGGGAGTTTTAAAACTTCCGACTAGCAGTTAGGAAACTACTTTGTATGTTCTACACCTAATCGTCAACGACAGCACGTCAACAACGGGACCACTCTGTTTCCATTTAACAAACAGCATCGCATCTGTCTAGTTAGTTTTCACTCAAAACGCCCAGCACACGCAAGCACTACAAACGCACCTTCGGTCAGCCTCTCCGCCCCTCTCTCTTCACGTCAGAGCCTTCTATATAACCTGCCCTATATCCTGAAGTGTAGCCCTCTTGCTTTCTTCGTGGAGATGCACTTGGCGAAGTGACCAGTTCGGGCGGGAAAAGCAAAAGCTGAGCAATCCTGCTCAAACGATTAATACGGTGTAGACAGGTTATCCGATTGGACCGACATTGTGTTCAGTGTCGAGGCGCCACCGAATTGTGCTGGCGAATGAAGAGTCAGAAAAATAATATGCCATTCGATGTCTCACGCTTAAGCAGTTGGATGAGTGCTCATTAGGAATCGTTTCCGTACACGCAGAGTTACTCTACTTCAGCTTCGCCTTTGCCATCAGGCGAAAGGTGGCCAATACAGTCTCGATCTCGCCCGGGTTCTTACCAAGCTTTTTCATGGCTCTCGAAATTTCTTTCTCCGAATACTTCATTTGTTTCCACGCCCCAAATGCTGTGTAGTCCCCAGACTTTGCGAGAATATCGTCGTACACCTTCGCGTTATACAGGTATGCTGCTTTCATGTTGGTTTTGAAGGACCTGCGTTTGAAGAAGTCAAATAGTCCTCTTTCCTCGTCATGCACACGATGAGTTGTTCCTTCGATGCTCGCAGAAAAGCGAAGCGCCCGGCCGATTGTCCTCGAAGGTATCACCTCACTACGGTCCGACACCGCATTGCCGCTTTCGAGTCGAGCCATAGCAACCGCGACGAGGAGAATACGTGAGAGTCGCATTTTTTTAATCGGATCAACTGAAGGCTGCACGAAGAAATGCGGAATGAAAAGCACTGCTTCTCACCTTGGAAATATTAAGGATGTATTGGTCAGTAAAAGAGTTAATCAAGATTTTTGTCCCAAAAGCTAGCCGCGAGCCAAAACCAAGATTGGATGCCAGCCTACAAGTACGTTAAGCTCAGACATCCAGTTCGCGTCGTACATCAGCTATTGATTGGAGGGTTGCCTAACTTTTCCTAAAAGAAAAACATGACCATAAATGTGGGCGTCCTAACCGTTTTGTCGCGCAGTGTGTCGGTTTTGCGACAATGATCAAGTACGCGTAATCACTGGGATGCATAAGCATCGCATGAAGCAAGTGAACGGTAATGGTAACCAAATATCATACGATATTATTGAAAGTAATAGTACTATTTCCGATATTAAATATTAATATTAGCTCAGTTTTTCAAATGGTAACATTATATGCTAATATTAACTCAGAGATTTGATTAAAATTAGATACAAGATGATATTTTATGATATTTTCCCACTTAAGTAACGTTTCTTGTCACCTTACCCTCTGTGAATCGAGGGCTCACCAAAGAACTCTATCGGTCAAGCTAAGCCAACAGTAGTGATGGCAGACTTTATAACTGACGAGTGTTTTCTCTAGTATTTTACTATGACAGAGACAAAGCCGATCGAGATAGAAAACTGCAAACGGTTGGAGCGAAATCAAGATATCTGTTCTTGTTATATGCCGATATCCTCGTCAAGATCGAGCGTTTCAGCAACCTACAGCCTGTGACGCTAGATTAATGCGCTCAGCAGTGCCAACACACCACACCAACCTTGCCGGTCACTCTGACAATTGTAAACTTCAGCTAGTCGAGCATTGACAACATATGATTGGTCGTTTAATGCCGATTACGCAATCTATGAAAACCATAATATTGAATTAACAAATATTGAGGTGATTTTTACTAATATCATTTAGTCCAAGAAGAAAATATTAGGTAATATGTTTTTGTATTAGCTGGTCTACTAGGTGATATTAAAACCTCACCGATTTTGGATTTACCATTAGCCTCTGGCTGGGAGGAACACAGACAATCCGCTCGGCTAGACCTGGAAAACGCCCTCAATAATTGTGGGGCTCCTGATGACCGGCAGCTTAGAATACTTAAGTTAATTCCACCTCTTACAATACAAAGAAGCTTTCAGATATTCTTATTCCGGGGTGTTTAACTATGAGATAGTCTCAATTGGACAAGACGCCGAAGAAACTTAAAATAGTGTCGATCTCGAACTAATACTCCGTACTTTCTCACGGATCGACTCGTATCCCTTATATACATCGATACGCCATCCAATAGCATTCCCATGAAAGAAACCTTTAATTTACCAGAGCGTCCTTGTGACGGGGTCACACAGCACCTTGCGCTAGAGGAAGTTATCTTCCGAGAGTGTACAAACTCTCAGTGAACGGCAGCTCACAGGTCCCCTCTTTATTCAAAAGAGAGCGAAGTGACCTAAATAAGGTAGATTGTAAACGAGTATATTTACAGGTAGATAAAATTTGGGTTTAATACAAACTATAAGTCACCTATAGAAATGCAATGTCGTTAACCAATGGTTGGCTTTGAACGACCTTGGTACTTTGTACCAAATATCCCGAAGTATGACGTGTCATACTCCTGAAGTGTGAAGTGTCACACTTCATGTAACCAGGGTACACTTAGGGCTACGTACCCCGTTACATCCTCCCCCACTTAGGTTCGGTTTACCGATCAATCAGAATGAAGAGGTGTTCGTCACAAACTCTCATTCTCAAAGTCGGAAACCATCGACTTGGCCGCGCGAGCGGGGCGGAGGCTCACTTCACAGTTAGAGCCTCGAGCAGCAACCTGTGCGCTCTTCGTCTAGGTCTCCAATTCGACCGTTACCATGCCTCGTGGCACAGCAAAAAGCGGGGCTAAGACACGCTCCAAAATTGTGGCCGGTAAGGCGCAAGCCAAGAACACTAAGCCTCACGGCAAAGGCTCGGCACTCAAGGAGGCTACTCAGGTGGCTTCCGAGGCGATCGATTCCTCGGGTGACGCGGCTGTGGGCAAACGAGCGAGCAAGCGCCGCAGTCCGTCGCCATCGGCCTCAGACAATCGTCCGAACCCTCGGTTCGTGGAACGTGAGCTCAACTCTGGCAGTGAGGACGAAGCCGGGTCCGAGAGCACTGTGGTGTTGGAAATCCCACGTGAACTCTAGCTACAAATGTAGTTAGGATGTTCCCACAACAATACGTCTACTAGGATAGTAAACGATCGTTCGGGCGGACCTGAAGACCCCAGTTCTGCCCTTGCACCGGGACAAACTGGACCTTGTAAACTACTTATATAGGCCAACCAGTAAAAAAAGGAACACGCTACTAGCACGAGCAAAGCTAGCAGGTGTTTTGAATCCTCGTGGTCCCAACAGCGGAAGGGTACCAGGCACGGGTAAGCCTTTTACGAGATCACCGAGTGTTCAACACTCGGCTGGAAGAAATAAAAGGGAGGCAATTAAAGCACTCCCAGTCGTGCAAATAGGCAACAATAAGCCGTCACGTAAAACCTCCCGATAATAATCGGCCAATACACAAAGTCTCTTGGCCTTGCCGGATGAACCCTCGCTACAGAGCTTCGAGTTCACCGACAGGCATAACACACTCAAACAAGCTTGACCTGACGCTTACCTTGAAGCCGGACGTCGCTCTGTGTGCTTGAGTGGAAATTCTGTTCTGTATTTAAGCTTACCCTTTCGGGTCTATTCCTAATAAGAAGTCCTAATCAAGTATACAAATATCAAGTGAACAATGATCCGTTATGGATCTTCTTGCATGCCAAGCGTCGTCTGCACCGTCGCATGAGCATCTTTAACGGTCCGCGCCCTGTCCCAGACGATGAACGTGCCTTTCAAGGGTCGCTGAGTCTTCCGCGAACTCATCCCAACCGCCACTGAGGGTTCGTACCGTAGATGGTCCGCTGAATGCGAATCCGGCCCGTCCATTATTAATAATAAGGACAGCCTGGATTCAGTGACATATGCCCGTATCCGATACTTGTTGAAAACTCGGGAGTGACGCCGTCGAGTCCCTTGTACCTTGGCGTCTCCGTACATCACCTGACCGAGGGCTCGTCGCTTGAACAACTTGGGCGGTGTCACGTCTTTGTCGACGGGTGATAATCCGCAACTACGGAGAAATCACTACACCACAACTGCCCCTGTCGCAATGGAAGCCACGGTACTGGAGCCCGTTGTGACATTTCTTCATTCTTCAATTCACCATCTCGCCACCGTATGTCCAAGCGTCTGAATCGAGCCGTGTCCGACGCTTTTCAGCGTCTCAATCCTCGTAGACGTCGCGAACGTGAGCAGCTGGAGGTACGTAAGCCCATCCTTCTCCTGAATCATCGGTACCTTGCTCATCACCTCGTATCACTCGACTTATTTCTCAGGAGGGCAAGACCGAGGGTTCGAACGCCCCTCAGTCTGCTGCACTTCCTTCGACAGCAGCGTCATCAACCGAGCCCCCGGCGCCCGCTGCCCCGGACTCTTCACTCCCTGCGGTAGCTCCTGCAGCACTCCCCGTCGTCGCTGAACCCGCGGAGATGGCTCCTGCTGCTCCTCCTGCCCCAGCTGGTGGTCCGCCACCAGTCACCGAAGATTCGCTGCGCGCCATGCTGGCTGAAAATACGGAGGCATCGGTCGATCATATGATGACCTCGATAATCCCGTATTTGACTGCAATGGCTCGTCACCAAGTGCAGATCAGCGTTGCGCCTCCTCTCCACGGCGACATACATACTCAGCGTCGCCTCGAGACTGCCGTTGGTTTCGATGATGTCCTCGCTGCGATACAACCTGTTCCTGACGCGCTGTCGGCGTTACCAGAACGAGTTGCTGACTTGGAGCGTCAGTTGCGGTTTGCTCAATCCGAGGCTGCTGCCGCCGTACGTTCGGTGGCGCCCCACATCATGGCCCGTGAGAACGCGGAGACGTTCGTCAAGGCTGCCAACGCTGAGATTGAAGCCTTACATCACAACATCAAGATTCTTCGCGAGTCGAACGCCAAGAACGACGCCATGCTCGCAAGTGTTCAAGCCACTATGGAGCGATACGCAGAGGATTTGAGTCGTCTTCACTGTGAGGTCCAAGCTCGGGACGTCTTCATCAGCACTTTGCAGAAGAAGCTGGCTCACGAACGCGAGGTGTACAAGGCTTCTATTGGAGCGAATACCGAGCAGACTCGGAAGCTTCACCTCCTTCTGGTAAAGCTTGCCCAAGGCAAGTACGTTGATAACGACACGCTCAAGGTCCTTGAAAACCAGCAAGACCGTAACACTCGCCTCCTTCAAGCGAATCGTACCCTCCGTGCACACGTGAGTCTGGCAGGGATGGATCCCGAGGTACTTCGTCTGGCTGTTGAAGGTACGCTCTTAAGGTCGCTCCTTCCACCGTGTGTTCAGCAACTAACGTTCATTCACAATCCTTCGTGATAGGTCTGACTGCGGGTGAGCTGGACCTGGACGCGCTGGACTTGGATCAGGAGACGTTAGTCGCTTTGCGTCGCATTCAGTCTGCCACCGCGTCTTCAGATGATCCTCAAGCCCTTCCTGCGGCTTTGGCCAAGGCTGCTCACCAAGTGGCCCATGGGAAATCCCATAAGCGTCTTAGACCAGGTGGCGAGGATTCGGACGACGAGTCGGAAGACTCTGACGAAGACAAGGCTCCAATCCCTACGGACAAGGCCAGTACTTCGATGGCAGCTGCCGGTCTCGGTGATGCGCCACCTGCCGACACTTCAACTCCCAAGTCAGCTCGTCGATCGCTGTTCGGTCCGAAGGCGTGGAAGATGGCGGCCCAGAAGAAGCGCAAGAAATCTCGTCCTCGTTCTCCTGCCAAGTCGCCCAGACGTCATATGAAGACTCGGTCCCAGTCTGTACCGTCTTCTCCAAGCTCATGGACGCCACCTACTACGTCAA